GCACGCTCGCAGTTCCTGTGTGTCTTTGCAAAAGAGTTTGATACTCTAGATGTCTAGTGTCTTACTTTGTAGTTTGGGGACTCAGTGCAGCAGGCAACATTATACATTTTTTGCAAAGTTTTTGGGGGTCTAGAGGACAGAACTCCTGGATTGTCTCTGGAAAAGGGCAAATCTATTGTAATAAATGTATGTGGACATGGACTGGGATTGAATGATAGTGTAAAAAGGCTGTACATATAGTTTAGTAAGTAAAAAGTGGATTTAGGTACTCTATACACAGTTGCTTTAAATCTACAGTTGGTAACCTGGTAATTTTTTGTCATATTTGCTGGCACTGTCACTATCCTGACAGCACACGAGACAGAAAATCTGTGAGAAAATTAGGTTCCTCTGGCTCCTTCTAGTGCTCCTAATGACATTTGTAAGAATCCACTAGACCTGAATGAAAGCAACCAATCAGAGCCAAGAGGAGTCTCATGTCAGTCACTTCTCGTGCAAACCCTGCGCTGCCAACAACAGCGCACAAGGCGAGGACAAGAGAACAGAAGAACACTGTCAAGAAAAGCTTGCTTTTACTTTTATAGAAGCCTGCTTTTGTTTACTTGCCTTTGCTGTGTACGCTGTTAGTGGTTGTTTCTCAGTCATTGTGTTTGCAAAGTTCTTCCTGAAGCTGCACACTAAAGATATTGAGCTTGACTGAGGGCATGCATGTGGGAGGGGGGACTGTGCAGCATGTACATTAGCAGTGACTGACAGGCTTCTCCTGGCTCTGATTGGTTGTTTTCATTCAGGCATGATATATTTTTGCAAATGCCATTAGGAGTGCCAAGAAGAGCCAGAGGAACCTACCTTTTTAATGGATTATCTGTCTCATGTACTACTATTTAAATGTAGTACTGTCAAGAGATTAAAAAAATGGAGAGATTAATTAATTATGATCTGTAATTAATTGTTCTAATTAATCTCTTTTTTAATCTCATCTCAAAGTTGCTGAGAAAAGCCCTCAACTTGAGGTATTTTCATTTAAATTCATTACATTATTGTGGAAGATGATCAAAAGATTGATATATATTATAAAAAGTGGTTTTATAAAGTCATAATTATTGTTTTCAACAATAACACACTTGAACACAGATGCAGTACACCTAGCCATTACATTCTATTGTTTCTGAGATTAGTCCCAATAAAGAGTGCTGCAACCTTTAGTCTGGCCCACCAGGGGGGTGCTTGACTGTCATCGCATGTCAGCTTAATTAAAAGCATAGCTGCAGATTAACACAACAATAGATGTAAAAACACACAGAAACAATACATCTGTGATCAGTTCCCTAATTTTATTTTAACAATTTTCTAAATTATTTTCCTCTTTTCCCATTTCTCGTTTTATTGATCAATGTAAGTGCACTTGTCCTTTAAACTTAATAAAAAATAGAAAAAAACTAAATAAAAGACACCTGGTACATTCGTTACAGCTGTATCAGTTTATAGAACAGTTTTGAACAGTTAGAACAAGAGGCTACACTGCAACGTGCAAATCAATCCTTCTCATGGCTGCCTGCACTTTCCCTGTCCTTGAGGATGCAATTTGCACTGTCTTCTCTTCTTCAAACTACAACACCCATAATTCATGTAGGAACTGCTGCAGCCAATGTGCAGCCGGTGGGAGCTGCATGACAACTCAACCACCATGATCAGTTTTTACACAGCACAGTGGCAACGGGGCGTGCAGGGTTCGGTGCTTTTCCTCAGCCCCTCTATAAGAAGGCACACGCGCAGGGCAAACGCCAGCTAGTCCTGAAAGAGGCGCGGGCAGGAGTCGAGGAGGAGCGGACCAGCAGGATGGTGGGCATGCAGAAGCAGGGAGCATGGACGAGATGGGAGGGAGCGCTGGACAGGAAGGTGACCTGGGCCGAGCTCTGGCAAGCAGAACCCCAGCGCATCAAGTTCATCATCACAGCTGCGTATGACGTCCTACCTAGCCCAGCTAATCTCCATCTCTGGGGCATGGCTGACTCTCCAGCTTGTGCTCTGTGGTCCGGGAGAGGTTCACTTGAGCACATCCTCAGCAGCTGCCCGAAAGCACTGGGGGAGGGTCAATATCGCTGGCAGCACGACCAAGTGCTGAAGGCAGCTGCTGAAGCCATCTCCAGAGCCGTAGCCCACAACAACTCCAACAGGCACCAGCAAGGCAAGAGGAACATCATCTTTGTCAGGGCTGGAGAGCAGCCTCAGTCACAACCCAAACCAGCAGCCGGCCTACTCACCTCAGCGTCTGACTGGGAGCTGAGAGAATACTTGGGCAAGCAACTCAAGTTCCCGGACCACGTCACAACAACATCCCTGAGGCCAGACATCGTGCTTTCCTCTGTCTCTGCAAGCCAAGTTCTAATGATAGAACTGATAGTTCCAAGGGAGGACCGCATCGAGGAGGCGAACGAGCGAAAGCGGTCTAAGTACCAGGAGCTGGTGGAGCAATGCCAAGGAAGAGGCTGGAAGGCACGCTGTGAGCCCATAGAAGTGGGGTGCCGAGGCTTTGCTGGCCGCTCACTGTGCAAAGTTTTCACACTGCTTGGCATCACAGGGGCTGCGAAGAGGAAAGCCATAAAAAACACCATGGAGGCTGCAGAGAGAGCCTCCAGATGGCTTTGGATCAGGAGGAGCTGGGACACAAGCCAGGGCCTGATCAACCCTGGCTGGGTCACCTGAGTGAGGGCGTCTGATGTTGAAAGACCCGAAACGCCCAATGATCTCAGCCACATCACTGAGGATGTGTCCCAAAGCATCCTAGGATGTATCTTTCATTCTTAATGTTTTATCGGGCAATAACTACTCCAGACTCTGCTCTAGTGTAATTTTCGGGACAATCAGGGCAAGATTCAGGACAACTGCTTGGATTTCGGGACTGTGCCCCGAAATCCAAGCAGTTGTCCTGAATCCTGCCCTGATTGCCCCGAAAATTACACGGAGGTTGCCGGGGAGGTCAGATACTTGCATGCTAGGGCAGACAGCTTTTCATAGGCTCCTGAGTGAGCAGACCACTACTGCAGGGGACAGTCATCACTGCTGATGCTGGACTCTGCTCTGTAGCGCTGCAGCTCTCCCACAACTCAAACACAAAAAAGCCCAATCGTATGCCTACAGACGGATTTTATAAAAGGCAACTCTGTGGCATACAGAAACAGTAAAGTTAGAGATTAAAAATGAGATTAACGCGATCAAAAAACATAGCGCGTTAAATATGGCTGTAATTAATTATTTGTAATTAACGCAATAATTTGACACCCCTATTTAAATGTAGTGACAATTTCAGCAAATATGACAAAAACATTTTTTTTTATAAAAGTTACCTACTGTAGCTTTAATATAACCTCATTATCAGTATAAGTATTAAGTTACAATGTGTAATTTACGTGGTTGTTTATTAGCAAATATCAACTATTGCTTTCATAAATACATATTTACCAAAGTGTAATGCAGTTCACGTACAAATGGAAGCTTTCTCATAGGCTTAGAATGATTTCTCTATATATACACAGGCAGGGCGCGGTCTGCTGGAGGCTGCCCTCTTGCGTCGCCATATTTGAATACAGTGGCCAAGAGGGATATACGCGCTTCACCTTTCGCGTTTACCTAGAACTTGCCGTCACTGGAGACGGTTAAGGTGAAGATCAATCTGGGGCGCTTCTGCGTGAACCTGCTTTGTACTTTTATGATTCTGTCGCACTTTAAATGGAGGACCACACATATGTTTTGCCCCGTAAGAGGGAAACTACGCCACCAAATAAAAGAAAAATATCAGATAAGCGAGGACAGGACAAAACGCGAGTGAATATCGGTGTTGCTTATTCCAGGTGGAAAGAACTCCTGAAGGAGAACGATTTCACGAGGGATGCGGAGGTTGCCTGCTTTGTGCTAGACAGGTAATTCAATCTGATATTTTAAAATTATTTTGGCTTCATGTTTGCAACTACTTTTCCCTCTCGTCTAAATTCGAGTGACGGCTACGTTTACGTGCTAACGTTATCCTAGCCTTGGCTAATGTTACTCCAGAGCTACAGCTAAATGGTTAGCCTAGCCTACAGCCTAATCTGTTGATTCCTCTCGCGCTGCTGCGAAGGCGTCCACCCTCTCCTCCTCCTCTTCCCTCTGGGTAGCCGAGAGACTACCTCTTCGCCTGGCCGTTCCTGCACCGCCTCTACCCCCTCGCCCCCTTCCTCTCCCTGGTCTTCCTCCTCTCCCTCTTCCTCATCTCCCTGTGTCCTGTGGAAGAACACTCTGGAAATGCATATATTATAATCGTACCAACCTATATTTGCCGCACTGTGCCATGACTATCACCTAAAACGTGTTATTTTGCAGAACAACAGGCATGTTATTTTAGCATTACTGTGCTAATGTTTGCTCGTGTTACCAAAACAATTAGAAATAAAACACTCCTAACATATATCTCACAGATAACCTATATCTCACTGGTAAGCTATAACATATCGTAACATGGTTTAGATTCCTAAATAAATATTCACCTCGTCGCTAGATACTCCTGAAAAACTCGAAAAAAACTCCACTGTCTGTGCAAGGCTTTTTGTCCTACGAGGCCACTGTCACTTACCCGACGGGAGGGGTGAGTGAGTGAGCGCGAGTGAGTACTGCAATTTATAATTTGACCGCTGATGTCACTGTTACTCACCATTTTTACACACTGAGGCTTTAAAGTTATCTATATAAATATTGGCAGGTTTATTTTGCCCACAACAGTTACACCTACTCATACAATATGTGACTGCATAACATGTTAGCTGACCTTATTCCAGGCCTTGAAGCTAAACTAAAACCACATTCAACACAACATACCAGCTCAAACTGTATTCCAGTTGTTTGCTGAAGCTTTTTTGCCTATCTTTGCCACTTACCCAAAACCTCATTCCACACAACCATATTATAAGCAGTTTCCACCCCAAGGCCAGCCCAACGGGTTTCATATTAAGAATTCCAGCCCATACCTGATTCCATGAACTCTTGGTTGAAGTTGCTCCAGGCCTCTTTGCTCTTCTCCAGGTTCTCCTCCATGACCTTGATGTCAGCAAAGGGGCAGTTGCACTCTGGAAAGCGGGGAGAGCACCGGCACCAGCAGTCGTTGTTGCGGCAGAGCAGCTCGCCCTCCGAGTTGCATGCCACATAGCTGAGGGCTGCCTCCACAAAACGCCCACGCAGGAATTCGGGCAGGACATCTTGCAAGCCTGTGAAAAAAAGGTCATTTTATTAATACTTTAGTCATTTTCAAAATAAAGTGTTTTTTTACAAACTGGTCCCACATGAAAGCATGTGTTATTTTTGTAGAGCTGAAAGGTTTTTTCAGCCTTTGAGCATGAAATAAAGAAATTTGTTTAAACCATTAAAGAACATTGTGAACGCTAATTTTTAGCACGGCATTGGTAGTAAAACAATTTCTTACAGATCTGAAACATTAATTTTCAACACAACAGAGTGCTGAAAATTGTACTTCCTTCAAAAGCAACAGCCACTGTAGCCTTAGCAGCTTGGAATCACTGCTTTTGGATATAAATATTTTTGAAGAGATTTTTTTTTTTTTTCTCAGAAATTGCAACTGTTTTTTTTTTCTTTAATGGGGATCCATTTTTAAACATCTAACATGTTTTGTAATTATGTCTATGACACTAAAATGACAGCTCTAATTCAAGCTGTAATACTTCAGAACACAAGCTAACAAAATGCTCCTCTGCAGTACAGCCTATGTACCATCACTGAATATTGCACAGAGATACTGACACTAATAACACGTCTTATCATGGCTGAGGCCAATAAAAAATGACATGTGCAAAGACAGCAGCTCATCAGCTGGCTGTGTATATTGTGTGTGTGGGTGCTCACTTCACCAAATTTCAAATAGCTCTTTTTTCTCTGGTTGATTCACAGAGACCTCAACTATGCATGTGTGGTGGTTTTATCGCAAGGATAAGAAAATAGGTTGTTTTCTTCAGAGCAGCTCGGCTTGTATCAATATCAGTGGCAGCTCTTGCAGCAGGTTCTGTGGATGCATATATAATAAGTTTAGAAGCCTGCCCAGGGGCATATTTTAGTAGTTTTGGAAGCTATCAGTAGCAACTGTCACCTGTTCTGCAGTCATCATAAACAACCTGCTGTTTCTACCTGCCATGTTCAGGTTGTTTCCCAGGGTTTCATTATTTCCTTTTCCCGCTGTGTAATTGAAATTCTCAAATCACCATCGGAACATTTCTTTTTACAATATGCAGAGATGCCATTTAGCTTTGTTCATCTTTTTTTGATTTTAAAGCCCACAATACCTGTAATAGGTATACGGATGAGTTGTTGAACCTTATTTTCATGATCAATGCGAAATGTCAAACGGAATGTCATGTCACGTGACATACTTCACCAGTGTAGCATGCTACATAAACTAGCACGCTACGTTATTATCAAAATTGCTTGCTTGACTTTTGGTTTCAGACAGGAAATGAACAGGTGAAAATCCGGACTCTGTCTAACCCATCCAACTCCCCTCCCACACACTCTTTGCAGACTTTCTCACTCTTCATACTGTGGTAGTTGCCAACAGTGTGACAAACTGCCTCCACCCGGTGTGTAGTGTACGACCACAAAGGGTGTCTGTGTGTTTGTTTTTGACACCTAGTTCTACTGACAAAGCGCCAATATTTGACAAGTTGGGTTGTTGCACGCTGCATGAGAAACAGCTGCTGCCGCCACAAAGGGTGCCTCTGTGCTTTGGTATCTGATGCTGAGATCCACTGACAAGGCGATTGTATTTGAAAAGTTGGGAGTGAGAATGGGTTTGATGAATACGAGACTTGCTTCTGTTTCTGGGCTACGATTTCTTGTCTGGCTAAGACTGTATTAGAACATTTTTAGTTAAACCTCTTTTTTTTATTTTTGGGAAAATTATACCGTGTGTACTGGTCACTCATACAGTTAGCTTGCTTTGTTAGCCCAGACCCACAACATAACAACAGGTCAACAATTCATTTTAGCACTGTAATTAGCTAGCTAGCTTCTCCAGTACAGTGCATTATTCAATCATACATGACCAACTTAGCACCGTAAAAAGGATTAAATGCACTCATTTAATTTCTTAAAGGTATGACAACATGCTAAGTCACAACAGCTGACATATTCCTACAAAGGACTTACTGGTATCTTTTCATGACATTTCTGCAGATTTGCTGAGCTTAACAAACAACCCCAAGGCACATCTCTTAGGAGCAGGCCTTAATCACAGCAGACATTCTGACACAGAAGCAAAGCACAGGTGTAACCAATCAATCAAACGAGCTGCTTGGGTTTCAAGGTCCAGGTATTGTTTATGCTCCCTGTCACACTGTCATGGCACACCTGAAAAGAACAGAGCCATTGTTAATATTGTCATTCACAGCTGTGGTTTTCCTTCTCTGCCAAGTCAACAAGACTAGGTCAAAACCTTGTATATATATATGGCTGGACCGTGGATGAAACACTAGAGGGCTTTTAATTTAAAACAAGAAGAAGCGACATCCACTCAGTCATGGTCTTTAGCTAACAGCACTGGCCCCAGTGGAGCAGTCCAGTCAAAAAAATTAATGTTGCTTAAAAACATCTGAAAAAAGAGAACAATGCAGGCTCTATGGAGAGCCTAGGCTGTAGCCTATACAACTGTCCTAAAGTGTTGTGGGCACGTATACTTGTGCAGTGGTATGTCAGGGTTGCTCTGCAATTTCACTGCCAAAACGCTAGTTGGTGTTTTGGCAGATGGCTGTTGAGATTCTATGCTGCTGTGTTGAGTTTCTGTGACATGCAATTAAGTTTGAATAATTCAACTAATGTACATAAAACACATTTAAAACATAGATAAATGGCAACAACAATAAACAAAACTACAAATTTCGGTTCCATTATAACACACAAGCGCCACAGACAAAACAATTATTTTTTTTGCTAGACATGTTTTCCCCAGAAATACAATATGCTGACTTTATTGGCATAAGCTAAAGACATTCTACATGGCATACATTAGCTTAGCAGCTAGCAGACTTTTCCACTACTTGCATGACGCTGTAAACAACAGCAACATTTAACAAAGGTACCGTTACAAATATCAACTCCATTATAACTTATAGGTTTACAGATTGTCTTTTACTGGACATGTTTTCCCCACATATAGCCTACAATATGCTAATGTTATTAGCGTAAGGCCATCGTATCAAGTAGCCTAACATTTACTGGACTTTCCTAGACCAGGATAAATCGCACACTAGATTTCAAATGCTATTTTGTGGTTGGTGGTTTTGTAGTATTGAAGAAATCAACAGTTCACAGTTCAAAAAAATAAACAGAAGGTCTGCTTTACTGTGGAGTTACATTTCTGGGAGGGTGCATGCATGGATGTATAAAGTCCTTGTGCGACTACTGGAGGCTGCATAGCCACCAGCCACTGTAGAAGCGTGCGATAGATTTGGAATGAATGAACAGCAGTCATAAACAGAACGGCTGTAGGCCTATACACCCCACAAGAATGTAATAGAAAACTATAATGGCAGGCAATAAACCGTAACATTTGTAATACTGAGGGCCTACTAATTGAGGATCACGGTCACATAGTCAAACACAAATCAGTTCCCAAGCTGTGGGAAACGCCGTCTGTCTTCATGTCCTTTAACAGCAGGGTAACATCACCCTTTCAATTTCACTGCCTTTATTATTTAAATTATATTAAAAATAAAGTGATATGCTAATTATGGTACCAAAGTTACATGACTGCACAGTCTATTAAACCAAATCAAAAGTTGATTTGTGATCTTTTAAAATGCAGCGTCATCCTTTAGAAAACAGCAGGCAGCATTCAGAGGCTTTGCTGTGTGATGTTCATGCTGCTTCCCTGAATCCGTCTGTTGGACCATGTCTGTCTCTCTGTCTGTCTGTCTAATAATCATCAATTTGTTGTGTCAAAAGCTTCCTCTCTCCTCACTTCACAATCTCAGTCTGGATGATTTTCAACTGCCAAGTCAAACCTGCTGTGCCCTGCTATGAATATGCATGTCTCTTCTTTGGTATTTACTTTTTCAATGGCTTGGAAAGAGATGTAATTAGTCACATTTTTCCTCTTCCATGCTTTGGCAGGTGCTTTGAGGTTTTTGCATGTGTGTACGTGTGTGTACTAGTTGCAACTCTGGCAGGGGTTTCTTCAGTTTGGGAGACAGCTAAATAACACTCTTCCCATCACCAATCGCTTTTTGTCTTTCTACTTCTCCTTTTTTCCTTTCTTTAGTTACAATCACTCTGTCACATCTGGAAAGAAGACATGGTAACTGTCCTGTGGACTGCTCTGGGTTTGTAAGGACTTTTAGTTCTTTTTGCTACAGTAATGGTAGCAGTAACAATAAAAGTCGTTTCCAAATAAACCTTGGTGTTAAGAGTTAGATTGTTTTGTTTTGAACTAAGTTTGAATATATAATCATATAGCCTACAGCTGCTTTAAAGTTTAAGAAATGTCAATAAGCATCACTGATTCTGTTCTGTTCCCTCCTCCTAAGTATGCCTTTAATTTTTCCTTAAGTTATGTTTTTATTAAAACTTTTCCCAAATTCATCTAACATGGTAAATTTATATTAAAGGGATAGTTTGGGTTTTTGGACATGAAGTTGTGTGATCATCTGTAGCTCTGATGTGACAGTGTCACTACTGTCAGCGAGCCTCCTGCTCTGAGAAATGGCCCGTAGCTAACCGGAGAAAAAGTAGTTCTTAAGATATAAGGGGGACACGTAACCAAAAGGTTTTAAGCTACAAAAAAGTATGCATGTGTTTTGTTAAGACTATTTCAATAATTTTAAAACATCCCCGCATTACGTCAGACCTTGCTATCAATTGGGACTATTTTCTGGCCAGTATCCCTCCGCCGTGCAGGCCCGCAAGACAGCATGCCAACAGAAATCAATAAGACAGTTCATCACCACACCGTGCAGGTGCGCAGGATAGCAACGGCTAATGAAAACTTCATCGGCTGTTTCCAACAGAGAACCAGTAGGCTATTATTAGTGAGGAAGAAGATGTACTAGCCCTATATATACCTACTACTACAGTGCAAACACTGGCTCAGGCTCACGACACACCCTCGTCAGCTGCTGTAGGTAAACAGAGGAATACCAAAATGGTGCGAACTTGTGATTTCCCCAGCTGTGGGAATAAAAACATTGCTGGCTCCCAATTCCAT